CACTTTATCTTATATCCTTTTGGAATTCTACTCTGTCCGGTATCAGGATTTCAATCCCTGCTTTTATATTGTTTTCATTTGGTAAATCTTTGCCCATCGTTTTAACTTTAGCCTTTTTGAAAGACCATTTTAAGCATGTCTCTTGTATATAGCATTGTGTTGGGTTCTGCTTTACAAGGCAATGTGAAAACCTTTTTATTTTAATAGATGAAGTAAGCCTATTCACATTTATTTGTATTACTGTTTGGTAATATAAATAATACAAATATGTTCTCAGTTCTCTCATTTTATCTTATGATGTAATTACTGTGTGTATTTGTTATATTTACTGTGTTTCTTTTTCTATTGTTTCCTCTAAACTTTTTTTGGTAGTTAGGAAGACTTGTATTTTTATGCTGGTGGTTACCTTTGTGTTAATCCTTTTTATAGTACTCTTAGTCAACCCTTTTATCTTTCTTTTTATTTACATATTTATTTATAAAATTGTATATATTTAAGGTGTACAGCATGATGATTTGATATACATATACATAGTGAAATGATTCCTACAGTTAAGCTAATTAACATATCATCTCCTTACATAGTTACCATTTTTTGTGTGTGATGAGTGCACCTGAAATTTACTCTCTTAGTATATTTCCATTGTTCAATACAGTGTTAAGTATAGTCATCATGCTTGTATATTAGATCTCTAGACTTTATTCATCCTACATAAATGTAACTTTATACTCTTTGACCAACATCTCTCCTCATTTCCCCCATACCCTTGGTAACCACCATTCTACTCTTTGCTTCTGAGTTTGACTTTTTAATTTTTTTTTTAGATTCCACATATTAGTGAGATCATACAGTATTTGTCTTTCTGTCTGACTTATTTCACTTAGCATAATGTCCTCCATGTTCATCCATGTTGTTGAAAATGGCAGGATTTCCTTCTTTCTCATGGATGAATACTACTCCACTCTATATATACTAGATCTTTTTTATCCATTCATCCACTAATGGACACTTAGGTTATTTCCATATATTGGCTATTGCAAATAATGTTGCAATGAACATGGGAGTGCAGATACCTATTTGGCATAGTGATTTCATTTCCTTTGGACATATACCCAGAAGCAGGACTGCAGGATCATACAGTAGTTCTAGTTTTAATTACTTGAGTAATCTTTACACTGTTTTCCATAATGGCTTTACCAATTTACCTTTTTTTTTTTTCGGTAAGTGGGCCTCTCACTGTTGTGGCCTCTCCTGTTGCGGAGCACAGGCTCCGGACGCGGAGGCTCACGGGCCTAGTTGCTCCACGGCATGTGGAATCTTCCTGGACCGGGGTACGAACCCGTGTCCCCTGCATCAGCAGGTGGACTCTCAACCACTGCGCCACCAGGGAAGCCCCAATTTACCTTTTTTAAATTAATCTTTTACCATCTAATTTGTCTCTGATCTGTTACCTATACAGCAGTAAATGATCTTATTCAGTTTCCCCCTTTCTTTCTCTTCTCCTCCCATATTTTAGTTGTATTTTTTCTACTTTGTCAGAACACTTAATGTGTATACATTATCCATCAACCCATGACCCCAGCCTTATTTTAGTCTTATCTTTACCGTTAAATATATGAAATGCTTACTGTCAGTCCTTTTGCCAGAATTTTCCCATTCATTGTTTTTGGTTGAAGCTCATTGTTTACTATAGTGCTATCCAGTAACACTTCCTTCAGTGATGGGAATGTTCTGTATCTGTGCTGTCCAGTACTGTCCAGTACTGTAACCAGCCACATGTGGCTACTGAGCACTGGAAATGTGCTTTAGTGTGACTGAGGAACTGAATTTTTAATTTTATTCCATTTTAATTCATCAAAATTTAAACTCAAATAGCCACATGTGGTTAGTGGCTACCATATTAAGCAGTGAAGCGCTAGCAAATTCCTTAGGAAGGGCACACATATTCTGGCCTATTCAAAACTTTTTCTGACGGCCTTGATACTTGAAGGGTATCTTGGCTGGATATAGTTTCCTTTATTTGTACTTTCTTTCCTTAATTTTCTTGAATGTGCTGTTCTACTATTGCCTTGCTTTCTGTGTTGTTTTTGAGAAATGGATGCTGATCTAATTCTTTTGCTTGGAGGCCCTGAGGAATATTTTTCTTTGCCTTTAAATTCTAATAGTTTTAATTAGGATATATCTCAGAGTTGATTGCTCCAAGTCAATTTTCCTTGGTACCCAGTGGGCCCTTTGATTGTGTTGAGGTTTGTTTTATGATCCAGGATATGGTCTAGCTTGGTGAATATTCCATGTATACTTGAAGAAACAGTTAATCTCAGTTTTTGAGTGAAATGTTCTACAATTCCTTGGATGGTTGGTGGTGTTCAGTTTTTCTGTATCTTTGTTGATTTTCACTCATCACTAAGAGAGGTGATGAAAGTTGGCAGCCATATTTGTGGATTGTCCCATTTCTTCTTTCAGTTTTGCTTCATGTATTTTGAAGCTATATTGTTAGGGCGATCACCCCCGCACCCCTGTTCCCAGGGCTTCCCCATCTTGGTCCTCTAGCTGGACAGTTGGGGCTTTCATCTCCATCCTGGCACTCACTTTCTGCAACTAGGTTTGCCCTTGAGGCCAAGTGGTGAGAGGTTAGAAGAAAGGCAATGGAGATCCTTCCCATACTCTTCAGACCACTATTCCTCTGGCCAAAGAAGAGGATTCCTCTCCTTTAGAGTTTGAGGAGCCTGCTGCTGCAAGGTTACATCTTTGGCACTGGGATTTACTTTGGGGCAGGACTGCATGAGAAAGAAAAGAGGCTTTCTCTCATTTTCTCTGTCCCACAAGAGCCCCTCCCACCCCCTTTCAGTCTTCATGTCATATTGGTGTACCTGCTGACTCTGTATTTGATGCCTCTCTCAAGCTCTGTGTTCTCTTAGCCACTCAGTTTATTCTGGTGGCTTCAGCTAGTGCTGAAATGCTACTGCCTCTCAATCCTTCGTCTATCCTAGCCTCCTCTCACAGATCCAGCATCATATATGCACCTTCCAGCTGGACGTCTCTATCAGTATGTGACATAAACACTCCAGCTCAGGTCCAAGATCTATCTCAATTTCCCCTTCTGCCAACCCACTGTCTTTCCTGTTTTGCTAATCTCAATATGTGGCACCAGCCTCAACCCAGCTGTTCATCAACCCAGCTGTTCACTCTCAAGGGAGAGTAATATTCTCTGCCTTTGTCCTACTTGACAATACTTCTGTATAACTTATAAATCTAACTATATTGTGGGAAGGTCAGAAAATATTCTGATCATATAAAGAGTCAAGTATTTTGGAGACTGATGATAGATAGAAAAAAAAAGGTGAAAATCCCTCCACTGTCTGCCCCTGAATATCTCTATAGCCCTTTATCTCATCACTGCCCAAAGCACTGTTTTCCTATCATACTGTGCTATTTATAGTTCTCTAACTCACCATGTGTGTTTCATGTCTTCCTGCTTTTTCTCATACTACTGCCCCATATTCGTGAGGGAGGTTATATTCTTGTTTAAGGATTCAAAGCTCTACCTCCCCAATAACACAAGTTGGAAACTTATTCCATCCCTTGTGAAAGCCCATTGCACCCTGTACACATGTCCAGCATAGCTCCTATAACATCTCATTGCAGGTGTGTGTTCACATTTAGGCATACCTCCGGAATATTGGAGGTTTGGTTCCAGACCACTGCAATAAAGAAAATATCGCAATAAAGCGAGACACATGAATTTTTTGGTTTCCCTGTGCATATAAAAGTTACATTGACATTATACTGTAGTCTATTAAGTGTGCAATAACATTATGTTTAAAAAAACCAATGTACATACATTAATTAAAAATTACTTTGTTGCTTAAAAATGCTAACCATCGGGCTTCCCTGGTGGTGCAGTTGTTGAGAGTCCGCCTGCTGATGCAGGGGACACGGGTTCGTGCCCTGGTCTGGGAAGATCCCACATGCCGCGGAGTGGCTGGGCCCATGGGCCATGGCCGCTGAGCCTGCACGTCCGGAGCCTGTGCTCCGCAACGGGAGAGGCCACAACAGTGAGAAGCCCGCGTACCAGAAAAAAAAAAATTGCTAACCATCATCTGACAATTGCAGGGTTGCCACAAACCTTCAATTTGTAAAAAACGTGATATCTGTGAAGCACAATAAAGTGAAGCGCAGTAAAACACGGCATGCCTGTGCAAGTCTCCTTATTGGGGTACGAGCTCCTTGAGAGCAGGCACTCTATCTTTGTTTCCCCAGCAATTGGGACAGGTCCAGGCACAGAGTGTTAACTCAGTAGTCAGTGGTCTTTTCTCCATGAATTGAAAAATTAATACACTAGCAGGACTGTTCTGTGTTTTCCTCCCCCAAAGTATAGTATCAAGCAAGAAAGGGTCAGGTTTCCAGTGCCAGCTAAAAATTGTCACTTGCTATCTGCCCCTACAAGGATGAAGTCACTAGCCACTGCAGTCACTGACCTTCAACATACCCTGAAAGGAATTCAGGGTGGAGATCAGGAATGAGACACTCTGTGCTCTGGGAAAAACAGGCAGAGCAGGCCTTCAGATAGTTAGATATTTTCAGGAGAAAATTTTCTGAACTCAATTTCTTGCATCTTCTCATATCTAGCAAAGCACTAAAACCATTAACGGAGACATCTGCTCCTTCTGACTAGCAGCAACCTTCTACCAAGATGTGTGCTTAATTGCATGTACCCCCTTCACCAAAATCACATATATACTGACCTCCCCCCTTGCCTCTTCAGAGCAGTTCCTCAGAGCTATCTGAGAGGCTGTCTCCTGAGCTGTAGTCCTCATTTTGCCCCAAATAAAACTTAACTCACAACTCTCACATTGTGCTTTTTTTTTTTCAGTTGACACCAGTGTAGCTTTTTCTAGTCAACTGTCAAAAGTGCTCTATTAAAAAAAAAAAAAAAGTGCTCTATTGAAAGAATTAGTTCCCACACATCTTTTCCATGTGTCCCATTCTGATCATTGCAGATTGTTGTTACAGGGATCTGTGTCATTTGAAGACGTGGCTGTGGATTTTACCCGACAGGAGTGGTACAGACTGGACCCTGCCCAGAGGACCATGCACAAGGATGTGATGCTGGAGAACTACAGCAACCTGGCGTCTGTGGGTGAGGATTATTTTCCATGTAACTCCTGGTAGCATGTGTTTCCTTTCTTGGTTGCTGTAACCTGGGCAGCCTTTGCAGAGTTCAGTGATACTTTAGTTCTAGATTCAAGGGGTCACAGATGATTTATCAGTTTGGGGCACCAGGAAGAGTGTGTGTGTTCTCACTTCCCCCAATGAAAGGTTTCAATGGGCACCCTTCCTTGTGCAGCTCATGAAGATGCACTTTTCTCCTCCATCAGAGGCCCTAAAGCTCAGACAACTTGGCCCACGTCCTGTGCCATTTCCCATTAACAGGCCTCTGCGTGGCCAAACCAGAGATGATCTTCAAGTTGGAGCGAGGGGAAGAACTGTGGATATTAGAGGAGGAATCCTCAGACCATGGTTACCCAGGTGAGTGAGCAAGAACTAGACATATGGAAAATAGGGGAAATAAGAGCTCAGGAATTCAGGTCAAAGGTTAAGTTTGGGCAGTGTTTTTCAGGAATCTCTTTTCAGAGGCCCTTGCTCTTTGAAAATGACCAGAGGACAAAGGTCTACATGCTTTCGATACCTAAATCCTACATCCCAATATCATGCTCACACTTAAGTGCTCTCTCCTATTTTATCTCAATTTTTGTAGTCATTTACCACTCTTATCTTTCCCTGCCTGCCTCAGCTTAGACATTTATTCTTAGTTAGTCTGTCTCTCTTTAGTATTCTCAATTGCCTTCCTTCCCTCCATTGCCTTGGATGCCTTCTGTTGTCAAGCAATCATTCATACATTCATTTAGTCATCTACCAAATCCTAAATGAAGTCAACTATATGCTGGTCACATTCTAGGTGTGGGGATCCAGTAGTGAATAAAGTAATATCTCTGTTCTCCTGGAGCTTGCAGTCTAATGAGGGAAAGAGACCAGAAACAAACAAATACATGGTGTTTGGTGGTGAAAAGAAAATCAATTCAAGATAAGAAGAACAGACAGTGATGGAGTTTGTGCTTTTGGGGAATGTGGTCAGAGAAGACTCTTTGGGGAAGTTAACATTAGTGCACCAACATCAGTGAAGTGAGAGAGACAGAGCCATGTGGAATTTTAGTATTCTGAGCAGAGAGAACAGTAAGTGCCAAGCCTAGTCTGAGCAATATATCATAGGAACAGCAAAGATGCTGGTGTGGCTTAATGGTGGGTGGTGAGAGTGTTAAGAGGTGATATCAGAGAGTTAGCCGGGGGCTAAGTTATGTAGAATTTTTATAGGCTTTGTTAAGCATTTTAATTTTACACTGTGACAAGGGAAAGCCTATGTTGGTTTTGAGTGAGAGAGATATGATCTGATTTGTTTTTAAAGGCTCTCTGTCACTGCTGTGTGCCAACAATTCTGTTGCGGGTAATGCCCTCAGTCATGATAATGACCTTCAGCATCAGAAGCTTCAAACTTTGGATCAAACTGTTGAATATGGGAAAGCCTTCTACAAGAGAACAGCCTTTGTTGGACATAAAAGAACACACACAGGAGAGAAAAACTTTGAATGTCATGAATGTGGGAAAACTTACTGCAGGAAATCAAATCTTATTGAACATCTGAGAATACACACAGGCGAGAGACCCTATAAATGTGGTGAATGTGCAAAAACCTTTAGTGCAAGATCATACCTCATTGCTCATCAGAAAACTCACACAGGGGAGAAGCCCTTTGAATGTAATGAATGTGGAAAATCTTTTGGCAGGAAGTCACAACTCATTCTACATCGGAGAACACACACAGGAGAGAGACCCTATGAATGCACTGAGTGTGGGAAAACCTTTTCTGAGAAGGCAACCCTCATGATTCATCAGAGAACTCACACAGGGGAGAAACCCTATGAATGTGGCGAATGTGGGAAAACATTTCGTGTTAAGATATCCCTTACTCAACACCAGAGAACTCACACAGGGGAGAAACCCTATGAATGTGGTGATTGTGGGAAAAACTTTCGTGCAAAAAAATCCCTAAACCAACATCAAAGAATTCACACAGGCGAGAAACCCTATAAATGTGGTGAATGTGGAAAATTCTTCAGAATGAAGATGACTCTCAATAATCACCAGAGAACTCATACAGGTGAAAAACCCTATCAGTGTAACGAATGTGGGAAATCTTTCAGGGTGCACTCATCTCTTGGAATACATCAGCGAATTCACACAGGAGAGAAACCTTATGAATGTAATAAATGTGGTAATGCCTTCTATGTCAAAGCACGCCTCATTGAACATCAGAGAATGCATTCAGGAGAGAAACCCTATGAATGTAGTGAATGTGGAAAAATCTTCAGTATGAAGAAGTCCCTGTGTCAACATCGGAGAACTCATGTAGGAGAGAAACTTTATGAATGAAGTGAATGCAGGAATGCCTTCTATGTGCAAGTATGCCTCATTGACACAGGAGAGAGACCCTTTGAATGTCAAGGATGTGGGAAAGCCTTCTGCCAGAAAGCACACCTCAGAGAACATCAGAGAACTCACTTAGGCCAGCCCTTGCCTTGTACTATGGAGAAAGCTTCTCTAAGAAGATTCCCCTCACCATTTGACCAAACTCTTTGGGCCATCTGATTACTGGTGCACACAGAGTGCACTTGTAACAATTTGGCTCTTATGTTGGTGTGAAAATTGTCCTGATCGCCTTAGGGAGTGGCTCATTGTTGTTTTCATTTCATTTGGATTTCCCTAATTAGTGGTGAGGTTGAACATTGGCTTACCTGTTGACTGGCCATTTGTTTTATTTCGTCTGTGCAATGACTGTTCATATCCTTTGCTCATTGTTTTCTAATGGGCTGTTTATCTTTTACTTCTTGGTTTAAATGTTGTTTTTCTTGTTTTTTTTTAATATGTGAAAATATAAAAATCCTTTTTCAGTCATGTGTGTTGCAAATATCTCCTCTCAGACTGTGACTGGTTATTTAATTTTTTTAACTCTTTTCTTCTGCTGAAGTTTTATGTTTTCATATTATTGGTTTCAAGGTGATAATATTCTCCTATACTTTCCTCTAAAGTGAAGGTTTCACTTTCAACATTTAGAATTTTAATCTACCCTAAATTTTTTCTTTGTAGTATGACGTCTACAATATATAATGCTGTATTTCTTTTAAATACTTTACATCAGTGGTATCACACTATTTTTAAACTTATGCAACTTGCTTTTTTTCACGAAGTGTTACATTTCCAAGATCTATCCATGTTGATAAATATATTTATTTATTTCTCCATTCCCCTAGTGAAAGACATTTGTATCATTTTTGTGTTTTGTGTTTAAATCTAGAAGTGGAAATGATGGGTCCAGGGTGTAGACAGTATGCCAGTTATTAATCTATTGTGCTTCAGCTCCAAACCTACCCTTCTATACTCGGCTTTGTGATGCTGGGGCCATGACTCTACAGAACACGTTTCTGTCTTGCCAGCTGCTACTCCCTGTTGGGTCCTACCAGTAAGAGATACTAAATATAAATATTGAGTCTGCGGAAGGAAGAAGGGACTTGCTCCTTTTTTCCTTCTGGTTGGCTCCCTGTTCATCTGTCAGCCCAGCATTGCTTCTTCACTTGGGCAGCAGCAGTTCCTCATGGTAGCAGCAGTTTAATCCAGTTTTCACTTTTCCAGCACTAACAGCTTTAGGGTACCCCACCCCCTCAGAGACCTAGCAGCATCTGGCTGGTGCCACCTCCTTAGAGGTATGAATCCCAGTCACATGAGACCCTGCTTCCAACCTTCTATTTTTAATAATTCCAACTTCTTCCCTTGTTACCCTAGGCCAGCTGCTTTCTGCAGTTGCTACCTCCATGATAATTTTAATGTTCTCTTTTTGTCTTTTAAGTTACGTGGTTAATAACTTCATCACTAGTTAAAAATTCATTTTAAGTTCTCTCTGTTAAAATAATCAGTATGGTTTCTGTCTCCTAACTGGGTTCTGATTGATATAGAAGTTTTTCAACTTGACTAAATTTTAAAGTTAAAAAAATTGCACTAATTTACACTCTCATGAGCAGTTTGAGAAAAAGTTTACATTTTCACACATATTCACCAGGACTTATCTGTTTTTTTAAAATTGTTGCCGATCTGAAAGGTGTAAAATGGCTTAAGCCCTCCCATCCATGAATATGGTTTGTCTTTTTATTTAACTCACCTTTTAAAATTTTAAATAGTATTGTATGGTTTTCTCTAAGAAATTGTCTTTGAAAGTTAATCTTTTAATAGAAAATTTGCTCATGTACATGTATATACATATATATTAAAAATATTATGTATTATGGGGTATATATATATTTATATGTAATATATGTATCTATATATATGTATATAAGTGTGTGTGTATACATGTGTGTGTATGTCTCCCCAGAAAACATTTTTGTTTTATATATTCATTTTATTTTACCCACATATTTACCACTTTGATTGCTCTTCATTCTTTTCTGCATTTCCTCCAGGATCATTTTCTTCTTTGCCTGAAAAATATCCTTTAGAGTTTTCTTTAGTGGAGGTCTATTAGTGATAAACCTCTCAACCTTGTGAATATTTTCTCTTGCACTTTTTTGATAAGCAAAAGTGAATCCTTTACCTTTAATACTTGGTAGCACTGTGCCATAGTAAATTGATGCAAAATTAAATACTTTTTTTTGCTTTTTTCCCTGAGTGTTCCATAATGATTATGACAACCCAGGATATTTGAATTAATCACCAGATGCCCCCCAATACAGCATACACCTGAATATACATATTACACTTTCTTCACTTTGTATATAGCATGCCCTCATCCTCATTTACTAATTATTAAGTTTATCAAAATGATATCTCATCAGTTCTTCCAATCTTCATCTCATCCATTAAAAAAATTAAATTTGATGTTTTAAAATTATTATTATTATGGAAAATGTCAAACATAAATAAAAGTAATCTATAGTGACAGAAAGCAGATCAGTGATTGCCTCTGGGGTAGGAATTAACTCCTATGAGATAGGAGGGAGCTTCCCAGGGTGATGAAACTATTCTGTATCTTGACTGGAGTGGGTGTTAATGGGGATACACAAGGTCATCAAATGAGTAAACTTAAGATTTGTGCATTTTATTGTATGTAAATTATATCTCAATTAAAATTTTAAAACAACAATAAAGAATTCCTTGTTCCCATATCAGGAGTCAAATGTGGGCTGCTTGGGAGAAAACGAAGAATCTTGACCACTAGATCAGATGAAAGACACTGGCAATGGGAAACTTGGTCCTCCCAAGGCTTTAGAAATGGTTTTGCTCCATGAAAATGACCTTTACTAAGGCCCCATGATGGGTTGTGCTGGCCTTCCATTAGCTACCATCACCTATGTGGTGATCCCTACTGGCCAATACTACTGTATGTATTTGGCTCCCAATAGCCTGAGCACAGTCTCTCCTAATCCTCCATTAGCATTAGCTACCATGATGTAGTTCTTACCCCCATCACATGTCTGCACAGTGTCTACTAACACCCACTCCATTAGCTTATAGCAGTTCTTATCACCACCTTTAGTTAAGAGCACAGTGTCTGCTGACCTTCCATTAGCTCACAATAGCTTGTCTTCCCACACTTTTTATTCCAGCAGAGTCTGCCGACCCCCTTTAGCTCATAGCATCATGTCTCGCCACCCCTTTTAGCTGCTATTACAATTTTTACTGACCTCCATTTGCTCACAGCATAGTGTCTTTTCACTCCTTTAGCCTCCAGCTTAGTGACTGATGATCTATTAGCTCAGTATCATGTCTTTTTGCCCCCTTTTAGACTCAACATGGTGACTGCTGACCTCCCATTAGCTCCCAGCGATGTGTCATCACCTTCATTTATACCTAATGCAGTGGCTGTTGACCCCATGTTGGCTCTCACCACTTTGTTCATTCCCCACTGTCCACTGTACAGTATATTTAATCCAATGAGTTCTAATTGCAGTATCTGCTCATCCTACATTAGATCCCCTCACTGTGTCTGCTGGTTTTTTATTAGCCATGAGTACAGTGTCTCTGACCCCCATGAACCCACAACACAGCACCGTTGCACAAATATTTATCTGCTGTTCCCCAGTTAGCCACCAATATGGTGACTTTGATCTCTTGAGCCCCAGCTTAATGTCTGCAGAACTCACATGACCTTGTCACTCTATCTTCTGATCCCCCATTTACCAAGTTCCAAGTTTTTTACCTGAGGACCCCTAAATAGCCTCCATCACTATGTCGTCCGACCTTACATTATAGCCTATTAGGGCATCTGTTGACCATACGTTAATGTCTTCTGACTTGTCAGACACCCACACAGAGTATGACCTCCTTGAGGACCCATTACCATGTTTTTTTCCTTACAGTAGCTGAATCCCTGTGTCTGCTGCTGAGTCCCTCTCCCTCGCCTTTAACCATGAGTATTGTGTCTTTGACCCCTTGAGGCCTGAGTAGAGTTTGCTGACCCCACGTTAGCTCTGATCCCAGTGTCTGTTGATCCTCCATCAGGCAGCAGTACTGTTTCTTCAATATGCATGAGGTTCCAGCAATGTATTTGCTGATCCCCAATTAGCCACAAGATCAGAGACTAACCTCCATGAGCTTCTGGCACAGTATCTGCTGATTCCACAGTAGTCTCATCTTACTGACCACCCATTAGCAACGAGTACAATGTCTTTGACCTTCATAAGTCCCAATCACAGTGTTGCTGACCCTGCATTAACCATCATCACTGTGCCTGTTGATCCCCCATTAGCCACTAATACAGTGTCTGAATGCAATGATGTCCCAGTACAGTGCATGCTGACCATACATTAGAGCCCATCACCATGTTTGCTAACCCTATACTGGCCTCAACACTGAGACTACTGACTACCACCTACTAGTTTAGAGCCTTTGCCTCACGTTTTTCAATCACAGTATCTGCTACTGATCCTATATTAATTAGTGTCACCACTGTGTCTTCTAATCTTCGCCACAAGTAGAGTGTCTTTGATCTTCATAAAAAATCTGACTAGTGTCTGCTGATCCCATATTAGTACTTTATTACCCTGCTGATTAGCCATTAGCCACCACTAAAGTGATTTTTCTCTCCACCCCAGCATCAGCCCATTCGCTACCCCCATCCCTGTGGATGCAGGTTACTCATCCTCTAATACAATGTATTGACCTCATGAGCCCCAGCATAATGCCTGGGACTCATTAGAGCCTACCCTGCATTAGAGCCCTTTATGGTTTCTGATGATCTTCTATTGGTCACCAGTACAGTGTCTTTAACTCCCATGAGTCCCCATAACCATATCTGCTGGTGCTGTATTAGCTCCCATGATTGTTGAATTCCCACTAGTCATTAATATACTATATTTGATCCCTGTGATTACTCCCCACAGTTTCTGATGACCCTTTATTAGGACCAGTCATTGTTCCCTGATTTCTGTAAATTGGTTTGTTGCTGTTTCAATTGTTCCTTGGACTCTGGTGGTTCCCCAGTCCTGCAGACTGCTTTTTTATTTTTCCTTTCCCAGCACTTCAGAGACTCGTCTTTGATGTTTTTGGCCTGATCCTCTGGATCTAGGCCCTGTTGCTCTCACTCTTTTGTAGCCCGTCTGACTGTCTCCCAAATACAAGGACTGTTTTGTGGTCTCTTCAGATGTTTGATGATCCCTCTGTTCCTCAGGTCCAGACACTATCCCCTTGTCCCATTAGCTGTTTCCTGGTTTCTCTGGCTGTGCCCTCAGCTTGAGATTGTTCCCTTATCTGTCTGGCTGTCTCCTAGGTATTTCTAGCTGTTGCATGACATTTAGGGATGTTTTCTTCTTCCATTTGCCTGTTCTAGAGTCTCTCTGGTTGTCCTCTAACTACAAGGACTGTTTTCTGGTCCTTTGGCCTTTTGATAATTTTTCTGACTGTTCACATCACTGCCATGACAGTTTCCTGGTCCCTATGGCTGTTTTCTAGGGTCCGGGGATGTTTCCTCAGCCTTGACCTATTGTCTGGAACCACAGACTGTTCCTGCTGCTTCTGGCAGTTCCCCAATACATGGAATAGGTTACTTGACCCTCCCTGATGTTACCTCAATCCTGGGTATGTTCACATGTCTTATTGCTTATTTTCTGCTTTCGCCAACTGTTTCTCAACACCAAGGACTGTTGTATACACTGGATGTGGCCTCAGGCATTAAACAGCAAGTGGGAGTTGCAGGCTCCAAAGGGAGCACCTTCCAGGTGCTCCCTTTAGCTGTGGCTGCTATGGAGAAGCAGACCCTACAGAGATGCTATTTAGTTCAGAGTCCTGGTGTGAGTCACTACATTTCCTCCCATTACCCTTCTAGAAAATCCATTAAGGTGAGTAAAATGAGTTACCCCTCACCCCCACATTCCGTGTGTCTGTGTGTGAATCTCTGCTTGGAAAAGAATCTCTGATGGCTGAGAGGAAGTACAAGGGGTTGGCAGTCCTGTGAGGTGTGCAGCATGGGGTCCAGCTCCATGGGTAACCTAGGGGCTGGCCCTACCCTCACCCAGCCCTCAGTACTTCTCCCTGAAAAAAATGGGTCTCACAGTCCCTACCCAGAATCCTTCTGAGATCTGTGATAGGGTTGGAGGATGATTTATGGGTGTATTCACCCCTTGGATATTTTTTCCAATCAAAACACAAAACTCTCATAATAATAACTTCATGTGTAATATTACTAACAGTGACAATTGCTAGACAGGCAATGTAGTGCAATGATGAAGAACATGAACACTGAAGCCAAATCTGTATTCAAATCCGAAGCCTTAATGGTTTCTTAGCTGTGACACCAAAAGCATGTCCTATAAAACAAAAAGGAAATAAATTGGGCTTCATCAAAATTAAAAATTTTTGTGTGGTAAACAGTACTGTCAAGAAAGTAAAATGTCAACCCACAGAATGGGAAAAAATATTTGCAAATCATATATCTGATAAGGGATGTGTATCTCAGATATATAAAGGACTTGTATAACCCAGTAATAAAAAAATAACCCAACTTAAAAATGGGCAAAGGAAAAAAAAATGGGCAAAGGATCTGAATAGACATTTCTCCAAATGAGATATATGAATGACCTAAGTACATGAAAAGCTTCACAGCATCATTAGGCATTAGGGAAATGGAAATCAAAACCACAATGAGAGGGCTTCCCTGGTGGCGCAGTGGTTGGGGGTCCGCCTGCGGATGCAGGGGACGCGGGTTCGTGCCCCGGTCCGGGAGGATCCCACATGCCGCGGAGCGGCTGGGCCCGTGAGCCATGGCCGCTGAGCCTGCGCGTCCGGAGC